ACCCTCAAATATTTCATCATTTTTCCCCTCCATCCTTTTGAGGAAGAAATGTGACAGAGTGGGTTGGTGGGCCCTTGGAAGGTCAATCTACCACTCTCCCTCTCTGTATCTTCTCTCCTATACTGAAGATTAAAGAAGTTATCTTCCTCTCATCTGACACTCCTCAGCCCCATATAAAGGGACACATAAAACAGAATAAAGGTGTGAAGTTTTAGTAGTTTCTTTAAAAACAAGAATCAGAGATTTTACAAAATCAAATACCTCCTCCTTGGACACGTTTCTCATCTTGTATTTTCAGATGATGTGAAGATCACAGCTGGTTCCTAGAGGCTATAATTTCCTTTCCCTTGTTTTTCAGTTTCAAAACTTAATTGTCTATGGAATGCAAGGCTGGGAAGGGAGGGTGGGAAAGAGAGGGCTGCAGAGAAATGAGGTGGTAAAAAAGAGAAAGATGGAAAGAAGAAAAAGAAACTTGACTTTGATTTAAATATCATCTTCAGAAATCAATTCCAGGGAAAAAATATTTACAAGTTTGGTATTCCAAAATTAAGAAATGTAATAATTAGCATCACTATTCATCTTCATCTTAATTCCCGTGTTTTCATAAATTTTGAAAAACTGTGTAGTAATATGAATATATTTTAATAAGACCACTTTCTCACCTGGCCAGATATGACAGTTATTTTTCAGCTGATATAATATACACTCACAAGACAACCATCTACCAGGGAGCTGAGTGCCCTTCCAAACCTTACTGTCCCTGACCATCCCCCTGGGACTTTTTCTTTCTTTAATGAAAGGATAAGCTTGACCATAGCAAGCATATGCTGTAATCTGGACTGTGCCCAGTCTGGCTTTCTGCTGTCCCAGCTGATCTTGGACCAGTGCAATAGGTCGCATTGTTTTCAGTCTCTGGACCTGCCTGATGGATGGCCTCAAGACATGGCTCATTTCTATGCCTTCTCTGTGACTGTAGGTAGAACTTGTCACTGTCACCAACCTGGTACAGCTCAGATCATGCAAAACTGTGCCCAGGACACTGCCCTGCTAGTCACCTTTAGCTCCTTGTGCATCTCCCTCATGGACCAGTCATGCTCCTGCTGATGCCTTTAAAATGAAGCTTGTTTCAATGATTCTTTTTGTATTTTTCATGCATCTTATCAAATCATGCTTTTAATATAGAATTACAAACCCCAAGTTATACTGAAATATCACTATAATACTCATGCATGTGAACATATATGCTTCCACAACACTGCTATGAGGAAGAAGGGTGTAGGAAGACTTGGTCTTGTACACCTTGAGACCCTCTTCTCAAGGGTGTAGGAAGAAAGCCTCTAGAAGGCCTCCGTAAAATTTTCCTTTGTACAAAGTAGAATTTTAACATTGGATAAAAATGTTATCTACAGATGTCCACTATGAAATAATTGCAACTTGATTTTTCAAAGAACTCAGGACTACATAGAATCATATAATCATTTAGGCTGGAAAAGACCTTTCAAGATCATTAAGTCTAAACAGTAATCTAATGCTGCTAAGTCCACCACTAAACCATGGCCCTGTCTCATATCTAAACACAAATCTTCACATCTGCACAATTCCATAGTTTCAAAGTATGGTTCCTTTTAGTATGAAGCTACAGACTCTTATCATGTCTACCTATCAGACTTTTAATTCATAGACTATGTACTCCGAAAGAACATGAAAATGTAATAAAAGTTCATTCAGCTACAGAGAAATACTAGAGGACTTGCTTCTGAGGAAGCTTCTGTTTCCTAATGCCTTCTTCCTAGGGTAACTTAATTCTACCCATGCTTTCTGGGCTGAATACATCGTATTTTGGCTTGCCAAACTTTTAATTGGTAATATTACTTTAACACTTATTGCATGTTTATCTGTTAGTGAAAAAAATGTAAAAAAAGAATCTTTAGAATTAGAATCAGAAAATCTGACTGTTTGCATCACACTATGTTAAATATTGCTAAAGAGTTAACAGGATCAGCTTTCAGCACAAGGCCCAAGAAAGGTTTTATAGCAGTGTCCCAAGACATTTCTTAAAAGCTGTATAACATCTTAGTCAGGAACACGGGCAGTGGGACTGAGGGTGACCTCAGCAAGTTCACTGATTCCACCAAGCTGTGTGATGCAGTAACACACTGGAGGGAAGGGATGCTGTCAAGAGAGACCTGGACAAGCTGAAGAATTGGGCCATGATAATCTCATGAAGTTCAACAAGGCCAAGGGAAAGGTCCTGAGCCTGGATTAGGGCAATTCCAAGCACAAATGCAGGCTGGGTGCATAATAGATTGAGAGCAGCCCCTGAGGAGAAGGATGTGGGGCTGTTGGCAGAAAATAAATTCTACCTGAGCCAGCAATGTGCGCTCAGCCCAGAAAGCCAGATCCACCTTTGGCTGTATCAAAAGAAGCATAGCCAGCAGGTTGAGGGAAGTGATTCTAACCCTCTTCTCTGGTGAGGGCCCACCTGGAGTTCTGCATCCAGGTCTGGGGACCCCGAACATAAGGACACAGATCCATTGGGGCGAGTCCCAGGAAGAGCTCTGATGATCAATGGGCTGGAGCATCTCTGCTATGGAGACAGGCTGGGGGAGTTGGGTCTGGTAAGCCTGGAGAAGGCCCAGAGAAGGTCTTTTAGCACCTTCCAGTAACTGAAGGGAGTCTGGAAGAGAGTTGGAGAGCAACTTTTCACAAAACATTAGTAGTAGTGCAGCAAGAGGACAAGAGCTTATGGCATCAAACTGAAAGAGGGCAGTTTTTATTATAAATAAGGAAGAAATTCTTTACAGTCAGGGTAGTGAGGCACTGGATAAGCTTACCCAACAAGATGTGAATGCCCAATCCCTGGAAGTGTTCAAACAAGATTCAATGGGGCCTTGAGTAATCTAGTCTAGTGAGAAGTGTTCTTGCAATGGCAGGGGGTTTGCAACTAGGGGAACTTTAAGAATTTTTTTCCAAGTGAAACCACTCTACGATTCAATGATCTATGATGGTGTGATCTGTCCCTGACAAGATTTTCAGTCTTCTGCCTTGAAAGTTTCAAGACCCATCCAGATACAGCCCTGAGCAGCCAGGTCTAATCTCATAAATGACTCTGCTTTAAGCAGGAGATTGAGCTGGAGACCTCCTGAGGTATTTTCTAACCTAAATTATTACTTAATTTTATGATGCTAAAAAGAAGTCCAAACCTCCAGTTACCTGAAATGAAATGATCTCTCCTTTTTTTTTTTTTTTTTCCTTACAATGCTCCAAGTACTGTCACTTTTAGTATTTTCTGGACTGTGAGTGGGAGAGCCATGGAAACCAGACTTAAGTGCATTTCGAAGCAATTAAGCTGTAAAACATTTAGTACTGCTGGGTTTTCTGGCTGGAACTAAACAAATATAACCTTAAAACACACTAAACATGCATGGTGAATGATCCACATGAACATTCTAATATCTTAATTTTGAATGCTATTTTTTTCCTATCTCATGAACGAATACCATTTAAAAGGCATTGTCTTTCTTGAAATTACTCAGATATGTGTTGATCTTTCCTGTTTAATAACTGCAACAAATTGCAATGAAGGAAAACATACTTGTGTTTTTTGTTATTTAATATGTTTTATTATATTATGTTATTATAATATTTTTTGTTATTATATAGATGTGTAATAATGAGGCACTGATTAATCAATTGCTTAATTTTAGCTATTTAGAAGCAAGTACCTTCCTCTAGCTGAAGAACACAAAAGAATATCACAGAGGAAAATAAGTTGTTTTTTTTTTAAATCAGGTTATTAAACCTTCTCCAACTTTGCCCCTATTTAATTTATAAAACATTTCTGTGAATGTTACCTGAACCTTGGCTTTACCTTTACATTGCCAGAGATCAATGTTGTTGTAACCAACAATAAAGAGCCAGCATTATTTATTCTCCTCTTTTGAGAGGTCCTTCAGCTTCATTCCCTTTGTTCATCTACTGCAATTACTGTGCAGCACAGAATGTTAAGATCAACCTTTTTTCTTTGAGCCACTTGAACAGGACTGAGAGGAAGCACAAATCTATAGTCTTTGTTAGCAAGTACTGCTGTTTTGCCCTTTTTTTTTTTCTCCTCGGACATGAAGACAACTAAACATCAGTCAACACAAAAATTTTTAGAGGTCAGAGAAAAATGTAAAATTAAACATAAGAAAGGTTTTTTTAATTTATGCATGTATTTGCTATTCTTCAAAGAGTCAGTTTTCCCTTTTTCTTAGGGAAAAATGGAAGCAGCTTTCTTTTCCTTAAAGCAGTGTTTTCCCATTACTGATTTTGTTGTATGTGACCTAATTCCCTAGGCAGTATGCCACACAGTTGTGCTACACTTACTTTCACAATCTGACTTTTCATGCATAGCTGCACCCCTATGATATGCACTCATGTTCCACATATATTTTTTACCAGTTATCTACACTTGCAATAGTTTTTCAAGCTCATCTCTTTCCCTTAAGAATAGCTTATTGAAGATACAAGATCCTTAATGATGATTTATGGTTCCTTTCCAAAAGCTTAACAACCAATCTTTTGTGATCCCATTTCACAGATCCGTGTACAATCCTCATGACCTTGCTAGTATTTGTTTTATCCTTTCACAGAGATGTTTTCTTTAACACTAGCTACCACTGTTGTAAGTTCTATACAATTTGTTATGGAGCATAAATTCAGCAAAGAAATCCTGAACCTCTGTCACAGTCTTGATGGCCACTTTCCCTTTCCCTTTCCCTTTCCCTTTCCCTTTCCCTTTCCCTTTCCCTTTCCCTTTCCCTTTCCCTTTCCC